ATATATTACAGTATTATATCAATTTTTATTGAATTTATTATGCCGAAAAAATTACCGGCCGAAAAATTTTTCGGCTATTTTTTTTATAGGTGTCCCAGGAATAATGAAAACAGCTGTAAGTTGACTTCCGGCGTAGTTTTAAAGCGGCCGGAAATTTTATAATATTAAATATATTGCAGGAGTTTCTAAATTTCGTTTACCGAAAAAAACAGCAGGTTACATCACCCGGAAATTTGTGCCCTGCGTTTATAACTGTGATGCAACAAAGTTTCATAATTAAACTTTGGTTGTGTGACCATTATACTTTTATATAGTAACAATTTAATAGTTTATGTGAAGTATAAATTAACCTTTAAATAGTCTATAGCTTATTCTAGAGTTTATTCATAGATGTATATAGAACGTTATGTATTTTAGTTCTTAAGTTTTTTTTTTAGTTAGTTTTTTTAGTATTTTGAGTTGGATTTTTGTGCATTGGGAATGTACTAGGTTGGTTAGTTGGATAAGGGTATTTGTTCTGTTAGTGCCTGGGACACAATAAAGAGATACGTATTAGTTTATTATTTTTTGGTGTCTTGTGTGTGTTAATACATAATTGGTTTCTTCTATTAATGCTTATGACCCTAAGCTAAATTGGCTCAGCTGATACAAAGTCTCTACCCTGGTCGTAACATAACACATATCAATATATATAGTATATAGCACATATGTTTGTAACACAATATTTTATTCCTATATACTTTATCGTTTACGTAGTAAAGCCTGATAAAACGTATTCTTTTATGAATAATTAATTGAAAGGAGGAAGCTTATTCATAAATCTAATTATTATGTAGTAGTATGAAGTGTTTCAATAGATTCTCATCGAAATATCTAATAATGTTATAAACGGATTAATTATTGTAAAAGCTTAAATAATTATATGCATTAGAAATACAATATATATTAATTCCAAAATATATAGATTGGTGTGTTGTTTCTTTAAACATCTATATATTAAGGTTATATTTACTCTAGTAAACATGAATCCAATGCTTTTAGCAAAAGTACCATAAAACGCCATATAAAGTACCCGGGTATCTTATAATTCACATGATAAAAAATTTGATTTGTACCCCAGGTATCTTGTATGGAGGAGGGTATATTACATTGGATACCTTGTAAAGAGGTATATTATTAAATATATAGCAATACCATATTTCTGTATTTCGTTCTTCTGTATTTTTACAAATATGGTTTTATATTTTATAATCTTGTACTGGTAATACTGATACATATAATATAGCAATTAAATATTTTTTTTATATATGATAAATTTACTTTCTACAACAAGACTTTATTAAAAAAAAAACTAACAGTGGATGGCTTAAAAAAAATTTTTTATAGTTTCTTATCTTAAAAAGGTTTCTGGTATTACTGTATGAGAATAGCTAATAAAATAGATTCCAAGTTCAATGCAAGCAAATTCATAATTAAAAAAATAAATAAGAGTTATTATTAGCTTAGTATAATATTAAACATCTCAATATTGGTACTTGACCAAGTTATCCTAAACTTGAAGAAGACCTTGCTGAATAGATTCAAGCTTTACATAACAAATTAAAACCAGTTAACTGTATTATATAGTGCAAAATAAAACTAACACATTAGCAAAATCTTCTATATTTTTCACTATTCTAATATTATTAAGTTTAAATGGAATAACAAGTAGTTTATACAGGTTGAATTAATGAATAATAGGTATATATTGGAAGACAAATCTTCTGATATGTACCCATTATTCTACTATAGATCCGCCAAATAACTGTAGCATATCAGTAGCATATAGGTTAGATATTGGGAGATAGATCGATAGTAGTAACGTAACAGTAACATACCAGGACATCCTGGTATCTTATTCTTAGTCCAAATAGTAATAAGAGTAAGATACCAAGATGCCCTGGTATATTACTATTATATTACTACTATCGATCTATCTCCCGATATCTAACCTATATGCTATCAATATGCTACTGATATGCTACAGTTATTTGGCAGATCTATGGTAGAATAATGGGTACATATCAAAAGATTTGTTTCTCGATATATATCTGTTATTCATTGATTCAACCTGTGTTAATTATTTTTTATAATATAATAGTTTTAGTAACTATTGTAAAACAACTATTGCACAAAAATTACCCACAGAATTAAAAATACAATAACAAGGATTTCTTGATTTTGTTCAATATTGCCATATTTAATATAATTATCTATTATTATTAATAAACAATATAGATGAAATATCTTTTTCTTTTGATATGCCAAGCAATATAACTATAAATAATAAAGGTAATAAAATCATTAATATAAGAACTTGTGGTTACGAAAAATTCTGTTTTACTATTGTGCTTGCATGTATAGCAGATAATAAAAAATTATCTCTAATGATTATTTTTAAGTTAAAAAATGATCTATAGCTTAAGTTTCTACTAGATATAATTATTAGAGCTAATGAAAATAGATAGATAAATAAAATAAAAATGAGCTTTTGAATAAATAAGATTTGGCAAAATCATATACCATGTTCTGAGAATCTACAGTTACTTTTAGTAATAGATTTTTTAGAATTATATAGTTTCTTTTATTAAAAATAAGCTTGTTAAAAAAATACTAATATTGCAATTATTCTTGAAGAATTAATATCAAAACTTCAACTATTTGATGTATCACTCAACAAATTATTTAAAGCAAAAGTATTTTTTTTTACAATTAATATATATTAATATATTTTTTATTAATAGATTAAATCTATTAATAAATTAAATCTATATATAATAAATGGATATCACAAAAAATAAAAGAATTAACTAAATCTGGTTAAATTAAATATTCTCTATATAATTTAATTGTAAAATAGGTTAAGCATACATGAGATACTATTGATACTCAGCTAATTCAAAATTTTTTTAAATGTTGTGATATTTTAGTTGCAACTAATGAATTAGAAAATAATTTAATTTTTAATTATAATCATTTTAAAAATAATAATAATAAAATTAATAACAATAATGAAATTGATAAATTTATTTTTAATAATAAAAACTTGGTTTTACAACTTTAATTTAATAAACTTTCTAACAATATTTTTATTTTAATGAGACTTTGAACTATAACAAAATTTTTTGTCTCAACAAAGCCTCTCACTCCAACAAGATTTTCAAGATCTCTTATTTCAATAAAGCTTTCAAGATCTTCTATCTCAATCATACCTTTCTTTCTAAAAACATCTTCTTCTCCAAGATCTCTGTATCAACAAACCTTTTACTTCAACCAAATTTTTTGCCTAACATCAATTTTAATTCATCAAATCAATATTTTTATATATTCTAATAAAATCTTTTGCTTTCACAAAACTTTTTATATCAACTGCTACTAAGTTTCTTGATTCATTAAAACTTTCTAAATTAGAAAAAATTTAAATATTATTATAATCAGAATAAAATAGACAACTTTATGACTCAATAAGTTTAATAATTTGTAATCACACAGATTTAAAAGTTTAAATAAACTTACTATCTAACCTCTTATATTGCAAAAATATAAAGTTTTTAGATCTAATATTTGAATGTGAATAATTTTAAAATTATAAATATTGTATTAATAATTAAATAGTAATATAACTAAATTATAAACTTGGATTATCAAATATTTTTCTTTTTTATAAGTTCTTTTTGATTTAAATATATCTATGATTATGTGTTTTTAATTTGCAGTATATACAGGTACAAAGTTTTCTAGATATAGTTAATAAATAAAAAAGAAGTTTGTCTGATATTTGAAACCTGTAAAAAGAAAATTTTAAACAAACAACTTAAAAACTAAAAAATTATAGTTATTGATTTGTATCTAAGTATCTTACAAAATACTATATCTGATTATCTTGAAATATACCTAGTACAAATCAAAGGAGTACAAATCATGACAAGTACCTTATATAGCATTTTATAATATATTTATTAAATCATATTTCTTAAGTTTTCTTTTTGATTTCTTTGATTTATTCGACAATAAGAATACTTTGAAAAAAATAAAAAATAAGTAATCTTAATATAAAAATAAAAAATAAACAAATCTTTTAATTCTAATACAAATATAAAGATATTATGTTAAATTTATAGCTTTTATAGCCAGTATAAAAAAAATTTCAGATAGCCAAGAATTTTAATATTGCAAAAACTAAAAATTTTGTATATATATACTAAGATCAAATATTTACTTTTGTTTATTACTTGTTATGAGTGCAAATTAACTATCATTTAATATGATTATTAATATAATATCAGAAACATTTATTCTAAAATATTTTTTATTTGTTAAAAACTAGAATATGTCTTTAATAGAATTCTACTAATATAAATCTTTTTCTTTGTTAAGTATAATAAATATTAAACAGATATAAAAGATATATATTATATTAAATAAAAAATACTCTTTCCCGTAGATCCTAATTCCATAAGTAAACAATAAAAGCAAAACACGATAAAAGAGTAAAAGACCTCACAGTAACTATATAACTATCAGTTCAACAACTATACAAACAGTAGACAAAGTATACCA